ACCTGCCGCGTGCGGCTGCCTGCCTGTGCGTGCTCCCGGCACTGGCGCCCTGCCCTGCCCTGCCTGCCGGAGCTATGCGTGCTGCCCCCAGGACCAACCAGGAGCAAGGGGGGCGTAACCGGGAGCCCCATGGCTGGAGGCGGATGCGCAACTGGTTCTCCCAGGTTCCAGGAAGCCGGATCAGACCTGTGGCTCCTCCGAGCCAGTGCTGCCGACACTGACTGGCCATTGCGGCTTTCCGGCATTTCAGGCCGGCTTTTCCCAGCCTGGCCAGGGGACATGGCCTGGCCTGCATGCCCAGAAGAGGTGGGGCCCGTTCCAGGCCGGGGCCCGAGGCTGAGCCGGGTTCAGTTTCGTTTCCTCCGCTCCAGCAGGGAGCCCTGTGTGGGTTTTGCCGAGGGCCAGAGAAAGGCCCCTCTTGTGCGTTTCGACTGCGCGAGAGGCAGGAGATGCCAGCCAGCGCTGAGCAGCTTTGCTTAGCCGGGCACACGAGCTGGGATGCCCCGTGCCAGGCCGGAGCTGGGCTCGCCCCGCGCGGACTGGACGCCCGCTTCCTTCGGGTTGCAGCGAGCCCAGGATGCTGGGTCGGGCATGCGCAGAAGAGACGGGGGGCCACGTGCACTGCCCTCTTCTCTTGCTTGTGGTGAGCCTGCATGCAGGAACACCTCTGGCTCATGCTGCCGCCCCCTGCCCTCCCCACTCTCCCAGCAGAACCGCTTGGCCAGGTTTTATTGACTGTCTGTTTACGCAAGCCAGTTCCAGAACTGCTTGGCTCCTAGGCAGAGGAGTTGGCAGCACCTGTGGGCCCAGCCCGCGCCTGCGGATCTGAGGCAGCGGCGCAAGGGCTTCTCCTGCGTACGCAACTCTCTGCACGTTCGGGCAGAAAACGCCCCGCGACTTTCGAAGCTCCCGTGCTGGAAGCTGTCGGCCTGCTTGGAATCGCAGCCTTAGCGCCGTTCTCGTCTGCCTGGCAGTTGTGGTGTTTGGTACGACTCTCCCCTTTTCGCCTGGCTTCCTTTTTCTCCCTCGCTGACAGTTTTCCCCCTTGCAAAGAGCGGAGAAGGTGCCTTCTTTCATTAGCGATCATAAATCTGTTTAAGTATCTGTGAGCGGAGGAAACCAAGCCCCCGGCCGGCTCCCAGGGGACCTCTGGGTGCCTCGGTGGTGGCGTTGCGCTCGCGTGTTCACAGGGCGCCCGCGCTGTTTTGCTGCAGAGACCTGCTGACGCGGCCTGCCGGCTTCTTTATCTCTGCCAGCCAAATGCCTTCTGTCCCTTCTTCTCAGGCTGTCGTTTTCCGGGCGTTCTGTTTTGAGGAACTGCACGGCGGCTTGGGCAGAGCGGAATGGCAAGCCGACAAATTAGTGTGCTCTGCCCCCTCCCGTGTCACCACTTGGAAGCGTTCACGGGGCCTGTGCTGCCCCAGCCGGCCAGGTGGCCACGATGTCGGGATGCTAGCCATTCCTGGGCCTGAGGAGAGGCGTCCTTCGGTGGCAGGTCAGAGCACAGGTCTTGCAAGCAGAAAGCGGGCAGATACGGGCTCCCTGGTGCTCTAGATTTCTGCCTGAGGGGTCGGCATTGCAATGCGTTTTCTTTGAAGCCTTCAGGAGATGTGCAGACAACCCCCAGTGCAGCTTCGCAGTGGAAGCTCGTGCTGCCACCTCAGTCAGCCTCATCCCTCGACCCACAGCTGAAGGCAGCCCGGCAGGAAATGTTTCGTGTTATCGGTATTCAGGCAGGCAATGAGCTCAGCTTGCCTTTCCGGGAGCCGTTCCAGTTCTCAGGAAAATGCCTGCATCTTTGCTGGGACCCTTGGAACCAATTAGTTTTCCAGCCCATGCTGGTTTGGCCACACACGACCCTCATCAGCAACCCTGTCAGTGAATGACAGGCGAAATGTATGGATGCTTGTGCCCCCGTTTGTTCTGCTATCATTCAATGTGTAATTTAAGGGGGGGGGGGTGAGCGTTTCCTGTGTCTCTGATGAGGAGGCAAAAGCCTTCTCGTGCCAGTTCAGCTGCAAAGAAGCAGAGGCAAAAGACAAGAACCAGTGGCGCTCATAGTGGGAAGCAGCGACGAGAGGCCGAGCCCAAAAGCGGGGCCTGGGCCTTCTCACGTGCTGAAGCCGCCGCTCCCTTCTCCACATTGTCTTCCTGGATCCGGAGAAAAAGCTGACTGTCCGAGAGCTGCCCCCAGTTGCTGGCTCCGGACGGCAAAGGAGCTATGGGTCACGTCCCTGCAAACCCCCAGAGGATGTGAAACTCCGAACCAGGAGTCATAACAAGAGAAGCCCTGCAGAAAGCAGAAGTGCTCGATCTCCAGATCGACACGACCGCAGCGAGTGCCACGGGGGCTTTGGCCACATTCCCCTCCGCAGGCAGGAGGTCCGACGACCCTGCTGCTCCCCACGGCGGCCCAGTCCCTAGAATGCCGTATTGCAGCCACTGCTGGCGGCAGAAGTACCGGGGTGGGCTGGGAAGGCTGCGACGGACTGGCCCCCGCCTGCAGGAGGCGCCTCACAGTGGTGGGGAGGAGGGGCCCCTGGGCTGAGCGACCGGACCCCGGCAGCCCCCGCTGCTCCTTCCCAGGGGGCTCAGCAAGCCCACCTCCCGGTTTCCCCCACCTTCCCTCTCGCGTCTCTAGGGACAAACGGTCGGTCTGCCTCCTCCTCCTCCTCCCCCCCCCCGGCCTGCTTCTGGCGAGCGGTTTCACAGATGCTGGAATCTCAAGCAGCCGTGGAGCTTCCTGCAGCCACAGAGTCCCCGCCTTGCTCTCAGCCTCCACCAGAGCCCCCTTTCCACCAGTCCCCCGTTTTGTGGGGTAGCCTTTTGCCAGGATCCGGCCGCGCTTTCTTTTGGCCGCCGGCCACCTCGTGCCCCTCTGCCGAACGGCCCTGGCCTGAGCGGTCTGTTTCCTCCCTGGTGGCTGGCTAAAGGCCGGTGAGTCACGGAGCCCTTGGCCAAGAGGCCACGAGGATTCGAAAGGCTTTTGCCTGTGGAAAAATCCCAGCGCTTTGTCAGCCGGGACTAGGAACGGCCGTCCGGGGAACCGACTGCGTCGCAGGCATCCTGCTTCCATTTAGCGCTCTGCCCTGCGTGCGTCACTCGCGCCCGCCAGTCCGGCAGCTTCATGCGGAAAAGCGCTCGCAGCTGCGCTCGCTCCCTGGGGGGTGGCATCACGAGGACGTGCGGCTCGCCCCGAAAGCAGAGCGGGCCGAACGCCACGAGGACGAGGCCTCCTGCAGGCGAACGGCCAGGAAGAGGTGCCACGGCCTCCGATGCCAAGCGGGATGCCAGCGCAGGACCCTGTGTGGGGGGGCTGCGGGGCCATTCGTGCGCGGAGACTTGTTGGGGGGGCATGCAGTGCCGCTCAGAATGGGTGCTTTTAAAGACCGAGGCCCGAGCCGCAGGGCCGGCACAGTGAAGCGTGGAGGAGGAGGGAGTGCGGCACTTGCAAACTTTCTAAAAGGCTGGGGTGGGTGAGCGGCTGGCCAGAGGCCCCAGTCCTTTTCCCGCTCCCGTTGCGCCAGGGGCCAAGAGGGCCTGGCTTTGTCTCCCTCTGCACGTGTTCAGTGGCACTCGTGCTTGGTGCTCCTGCTGCTCTGCGTGGAAGGGTCATCTGTCTGTCTGTCTGTCTGTCTGTCTCTGTCTGTCTGTCTGTCTGTCTGTCTGTCTGTCTATCTGTGGGCCAGGGGAGCAGCTGCTGCCTGGATCCACTTCTCCACTGCTTTTTGGAAGACTAGAAAAGGAGAAGCTCTCATGGGAACTGCAGAAATGGCAGAAAGCATCGTGGGGGGGGGGGTGGACTCCTACTCAGTCGATGGTGAAGCACCCTCTGCTGATGGTTTCACAGGCAGAAGGTCTCAGTTCAGCCCCCAGTTTAAAGAGGGATCTTGGCAGTGCTAAATGGAGGGCCGAGGGCTGGAGGAGCCGGTGCTGCACGGAAAGAGGAGGGAGGGCGCTATTTCGCTTGAGAAAAGCAGGCAGCTTGGCACGTCCACCTGGTGTAGCTGGAGCTCCGGAGCTGAACCTCGGAAGCCGATCGGCGCATAGCCAAGAGGCAGGCATCCTCTGGCACTGGAGGGGCGGGGACCTTTCCCTGCTGGCTGGTGGTCCCTTGGCTGAGCCCCAGGGCTGGAGGCGAGGCAGCCGGAGGCAGGCCCCTCCGGCTGCTGGGGCACAGACCCCTGCCCAGCCCGGATGCCTCATGCGGTGCTCCCTGCTCCATGCAGAGAGCCCCTGGGGAGGGGGAGGGGGGGCAAGCATCGTGTGCTGATGGCTTTGGGAGGCCGAAAAGGGAGAGCAGCTCTAGGCGTGCACTGCATCTCACGGGGTGTTCAGGGTGGAGGAGCCAGCCTGGGGCTTCCGGCTGCCACTCCCTCGCTCTGCCCGCTGGCAGCAGCTGGGAAGCTTCGGCCTTCCAAACCTCACAACTCTTGGAGGCAGCCTTCCTCAGCCAGGCCTGCCGGACTGCAGCTCTCATCATCCCCAGGCAGCCTGGCAAAGGCCGCTGTGAGCTGGTATTATTATTTGTTGAACTGGTTGAGGGTCAGACAGGGCAGCACGCCTAGGCCCAGCTACTGCTTTCGAGGCATGGGGCTGCCCCAACTTGCTGCAGTTGCTTGTGCAGGCTGCCTGTCCACCGGGAAGGGGGTGCTTTGTTTTTGGGTGCAAAGCAATGACGACGTGATCAAGCGGCTCACAACCCCCATGTGGGAGGAGCATCTTTGTATTAGCCTGGGGATGCAGCAGGACGACTTGAGCCAGCTCCTCCCTCGCTGGACACTTAATCCATGGCAAGCAGCCACAGTGCGACCGCGACAGCTTTGAGAGGGAACCGCACCGGCCTTCCGCGAAACGGCGGGTTGGCCCCGAGGGCTCCCAAGGAGCCGTGGCGCTCCAGCACAGCCCCGTGAATGCCGCCGCCGCCCCAGGCTGGCCCAGAGGGCGATCGTGGCTCCCGGCCGCCCTCTGCGCGCTCACCATGCTGCCTCTCTCCACAGAGCTCGCGGCCCAAGCTGCAGACCGCCTGCTCGGCAGTCCAGGAAATCCGGCGCTGCACGTGCCTGGAGATGCCGGACAACCCACACACCTTCGTGCTCAAGGTAGGGTGCCCTCGGGGCGGGGGCAGTGCCTTGGGGCCCTCGGGGTGTGGGGCAGCCCCCCCCCACTGGGCTGTGCCAGTCACCAGGCGGGAGGTCCTCACCCCGGAAGCAGCGCGCAGGGCGGGAGGTCCCAGCAGGGCCAGAGAGGCACCGCGCGGAAGCGGACGCGACCCGGGAAGGCAGCCGGAGCCCTCTTCCTCGGGCAGGAGCCGTCTCGGCCCCGTTGGAGTCCTGACCCGGGAGGCACTCCTGACACGTCCCTCCTCCCCCCGCACCGGCAGGTGAACGCCTCCACAGACATCATATTCGAGGCCGGAGACGAGCGGCAGCTGCACAGCTGGGTGTCCGAGATCCAGGCGGGCCTCCCTCCGGGGTAAGTCCCACGGCTGTGCGGTGCTGCAGCGCCTGAGCCGGCCGCCCGGCTTTCCCAGCGTTTGCTCGCACGGCTCCAAGGCAGCGAACTCCGGAGCAAGGACCCCACGCGGTTCGCACGAGCCGCTTTCCAAGCGCTGCAGGGGGCCGGGGCCGCAGAGGCCGGAGACGTTCCTTGAACTCCAAAGGGGAAGGCAGCACTCGCCGCGTCCAGCTGGTCCCGGGGCAGAACTTGTGCCTAGTGGCAGCACAGAACTGTTGTGTGGAGAGAGGGGGCGTGTCAGGGCTGGGGGGGGGGCGAGCTCAAAACCTCATCTTGCCAGCAAGCTTTCCAGCGGGCTTGAGGCGGCGTGCTGCATTATGCTGTTCCATCTCATAGCATTGTCTCGAGGATAAAAACGTGCGTGGAAGGCCGGGCTGCCAGCTCAGGACGTTCTCGAGAAGCCCTAATACAGTAAACCTAATGCAAACTCCCCCCCGCCCCCCCCCAGCTAATTTGGTGCAGTGGTCAGAGCATTGGACTGGGCCTGGGAGAGCCCGATTTTAGTCCCCACTGGGTGACTGGGCCAGTCAGACTCTCTGGCCAACCTGCCCCACAGGGTGAGGATAGAACGGGATTGAAGACCGTACAAGCCACCTTGGGCTCCTTGCGAGCAGAAAAAGGACGTGTTTACACGCAATAAATACCAGTGTCATGGAGGCAGCCCGCTGTCGCACAGCGGCAAGGCAGGTGCGCTCTGCAGTTCCTCGAGGTTCTCTCACCGACGACCCCTTCAAATTGTGGGTCGCCATCTAGGCCCCGAGACTTGGCACAAATCTCGTTCCATCCCAAGGCCGCAACGGACTGTGCTCAGTCAGGCTTCTCTGTTTACAGTGGGGAGCAGAACCTGGCGTTTTCACCTGCCCTTTTCTGTTGGGCGAGGTTTCGTGAATCCCCAGGATTTTGGCTCCCCTGCCCAGGAGGGCCAGCCCTCGTTGTGTGGCGGCTGCAGGGAATGTCTCGTGCTGAGACGTGTCCTTTTAAAATTTCAGCAGCACACGCGCGCGCACACACACACACACACACACACTTATCTGTCCCGTGGAATCTCATCTTGCAAAACGCTTTTCCCTTGTGCTCCTAGACCTGGCATTTATCTCGTGCATTATCTCCAACAAGGGTTTTGAAACGCTGCATCTTGTAAAGCATCATCGGATTTGCACTTGACTCTTAGGACGCCTGAACCTTAATGGTCCCCCGGCGGTGTTTGCAAGCTCTTTCCACCTTGCTTCCTGTGCCCCCTTTCTGCCGGCCTTGGTGCGTCGTCCATCCCACTCACGGCCTTTGCGTACGGAGGGTCGCAACTAAGATGCTTCGTGCTTTTTCAGGCCTGAAAGAGCCAGCGTGGAGCTGACCTCAGACACTCACTCGGAGGTGGTGACTGCGAGTCCTACGAACAGCAGTACAGACTCCCTGAATCAAGGTACGGGGCCATGTCCCAGCTCTGCAGGAAGCCTCCTCCTCCCTCCCACTCCCGCAAAATGCAGCTCCCCAGGAGTCCAGCCGCTTGGTTTTCGAGGTGTGGGAAGGGTGGCTGAGCCTCAGAGTTGCCGCAGGCTCGCTGTAGGACGGTCTTCTACGGGGCCCGAGACGCTTGACAGTTAAACTGCAAGGTTTGTTCCGGGTTTTCCTGTTATTCTCTGGATTTGCAAACCCTTAAGTCTTCCGCAAGAGCGTCTGTCGGCACAGCACTTGCTCTGGGAACTGCCTTGCACTTTTTGGAAAAACGGGCGTGGAAATTTTGAAAAATCCACACGTGCACGCAGGATGATAGAACAGGGCTGTGTACCCAGCCAAGCTGTGGGGCCCAGCGGGTGCTCATCTGCTCGGCAGCACCTCTCTTCAGGGCCTTGGACAAAGGGGGATCTTGTCCAGCCCTGGAGAAGCCAAGGCCCAACCGTGGGACCCTCTGGGTGCAGAGCCAGCCTCCGAACACTGACCCCTCCCCAGAGCCCGAAGCATCACAGGGGAAGCCCGCGTGGGCAGGCGCCAGGTTGACCTTTGGCCCCCGAGGCTGCGGGGCTTCTCACCAGGAACCTGCCCTTGAACCTGATCCAGCGAGGTCCTTTTGCCTGGTAGGAACATTTCAGAGTTGGGGTCACTCGAGATACACTTTAACAGTGAAGCCACCCCACCTTTGCTCTGCAAACGGAAAGTGCCCCGAATGCTGAGCCCCGGCTCCTGATGTTGCTGTGCTCTCCTTGCTTCCTGGCAGGCGCAGCCCCGTCCAGCCTCCTCGAGCAGCCCTGCCAGAAGACGGATCGCTACCTGTCCGGCTTCCCTTGGTACCACGGCTCTATTTCTCGAGTCAAAGCGGCCCAGCTTGTCCAGCTTCGGGGCCTTGAAGGACACGGCGTCTTCCTCATCCGACAGAGCGAAACCCGCCGGGGCGAGTATGTGCTGACCTTCAACTTTCAAGGAAGAGCCAAGGTATGGCACCGGCGCTCAGGAGTTCTTCTCCAGAGCCGCTCCCCGAGTACCATCCAGGAGTGGCAGAAAGCTGTGTGGACTCGCCCTGTAAGACGGAGCACGGTTTTCTCCGTACAGCTGAAGTAGTTTCTTCTTTTTGCTATATGGGGATTTGCTTTTTTCGGGCCACCCTAACAAGCTAGCAGAGCAAAACGAAGTCTAATTGGCACCAAGTCTCATTAGCAATGGCAAGAGAGATTCACAGCACCAGTTCTGAATTTTGGGACCGAGCTTCTAGTCCTCGTGGATTGGGAAACAGAATCTTCCAAATCTGAGGAGGCAGGAAGTCGGGCTTCTCCTCCGTTGTGGAGTGCACCCGGTGCCGGTCGTCTCTGCTCCTCCCAGGTGCCGCTGGAGCCTCCGCGGGGGCCGGGTGGGCCAGCCGCTAACAAGCCTCCTTTGCCTTGGCAGCACCTGCGGCTCTCGCTGACAGAGAGGGGCCAGTGCCGCGTCCAGCACCTGCACTTCACCTCCGTCCTGGACATGCTGCATCATTTCCAGCGCTGCCCCATCCCCCTGGAGTGCGGCATGGCCTGCAGCGTGCAGCTGTCCAGCTATGTGCTGGTCGTCCCACACACGCCAGGTAAGCGTGCCGCGCACTGTTGCTCGGTTTGCTCCGACAACCAGGCCTTTCTGGGTGCATCTGCGTTCCAGGCAGGCCTCTCATCGGGGGGGAGGGGGGGGGGGGGGGGGCAAAGCCAGGGCCACACCCCCACGGCTGCGCAGGCGCAATCTGCTGCATAAATCTCGGGGGACGGCCGTTAGCACCGGAAAGCAAGGGTTATCCAGGAAACTCGTTCATCACTTCCCTGGGAAGCAGCTAGGCACCTGCGTGTGGAATAGTTCTGCAGAAGCACAGGACGTCCTATTTTTTGCTGAACCCAGCTGCTGGAAACGCTCAGCCTTTAAAAAAACAAGCAGAGTTCTAGTCCTTATGACTTGCAGCAGCATTTCTGAACGTGGCTTGTTATTGCTTACTGAAAGGCCAGAAAACCGGAGGCACCGACTTGGATTTCCAGGTTGCTGAGAATGGAGCTGAACGGCCTGCCCGATGGCCCTCACTGCTCTCCGCAGAAAGCAGAGAGAACCCATGCCGCTTTTCTTCTGTCATCCGGGGTGCAGAAACCTCTCCCAGCTGCCCCCTCCCTGGATAGTCCAGTCGAGATATGGGGCCTGCCTCAGCTGCAGCCTCCGTGACAGGCGCAGGGGGGAACGAGGAGGGCCTCCTCCGTGGCAGCCCCTGCCTGGCACCAACTGCTATCTCCCCGTGCCAGGCGAGGGCCGTCTTCCCTGGCAGAGCACTTCCTTGCCTCTAAACGGGGTGCCAGGGCGGCCGACCAGCGGCGCGTCTCCAGCTGTGGCTGTTTGTATCCTCATTGTGTGTGTTGTGCTTCGGCGCCTGCCCCGGTTTCACCTGCTCCTCTCCCCCCCACCCCGCGCCTCCCTGTCCCCGCAGGCTCCTGCAGCACCGCCCCGCTCTCCCCCTCCGTCCACCGCTGCCGCCCAGAATCCAGCCACGTCCAGCTGGCCCCCTCCAGCTGCCCACGGACCCACCTGCCGGACAGCCTTCGCCGCAACTCCTCGGGGGAGCAGATCTTCCACCGGGTGCCCCCCCCCAGAAGAGCTGGCCCGAAGCCTCTGGCACAGTGGCCCCCTGGGCGTGTCCCCCGCCTCCCCCTCGGCCCGCCAGTGGGACAATGACTATGAGCTGGACTCGCGCGGGAGGGGGCACCTGCGGGCTGTGAGCAACCAGTACACCTCGCTCTGACGCTGCGGCCCAGGCACCCGCTGTTCTCCGCAAGGCCCGGCAGAGGTGCGTCGGTCGAGGACGCGGGCGGCTCACTCCACTCCTGGCGTGACCCTTGGATTAGGCCTGTTGACGGGCCACTGACGTTTCGCCATGCAGAATGTTGTTCTCTCACCGGTTTTGCACACGGCTCTGCCTTCGCTTTTAGATTTCTTACTGGTACACGTTTTGGATAATAGTTGGTTAATTTTGATATTGCTCTCATCCAGTTCCTTCTTTTTGAAGAGTGAGGAAAAGAGGTGGGCGCAAGGGAAGAGGCCAAGTCGGACTGGCCTGCATTACTGCCTAGAATGGATTGGCCTGTCCGCAGATCCTTCGGCCCCCGACCCTCTCGTATAATCACTGAAGTGAAGAGCTGCTCTCTGGCTTCCTCTGTCAATCAGTAGGTCTGAGTGGTATTATACGCTAGCCATGAAAGAGGGGTGAACAAGGCTGGCTCACTGGGAAGCGGCAGCGCCTCCTGCTCCCGCAACGGCTGAGCACCGCACCGCTGCCAGAGCCCCCAGGAAGGCGACCCTTCCCCCCCGCTGCAAAGTGCACCGAGTTGGCCAACTGCCTCAGCTTTCCAGCAAGGGGCACGAGCAGTTCTGTGAGTATACGGGAAAGGCCCACTGTGTGGAACACCAGAAACTTTATTCCGAGTCAGACAAATTTCCCACGTAGGGCAGCCTTCCTGACCCTTATCAGGGCCCCTTCGTGGCTGAGAATTAATGGGCCACTGCAGCTGGAGGGCACCTGCCGGGGAAGGCAGGGATCCTGCCCGCTGCACCCCAATGCAGGCTGAAAGACCCCGCTCCCTCCGTCTCGCCTCATACGGCTTCCCCTGCAAACGGCCACCAACCTTGTGGCCCTGCGCTGCACTGACTCCAACCTGGCTATATCCTTTCTGTAATGAGGGGCCCAAAACTGAGCACAATACTCCAGCTGTGGGCGCACCAGAGTCCTATAGAGTGGTAGTAATACCTCCCTCGATCTAGAAGCCACACTTCTGACCATACAACCAAGGGTGGCGTCCGCCCTCTTGACCACCGCATCACACTGCTGGCTCATGTTCAGCCTGCAGTCGACCAGCACCCCGAGGTCCCTTTCACAAGTGCTGCTCTCCAGCCACTTGTCCCCTAACCTGTACTTACGACAGCTATTCCTATGCCCCAAGTGCAAGGCCTTGCACTTATCCTCATTGAACGCCATCCTGTTGTCTCCTGCCCACTTCCATAGTCTGTCCAGATCCTTTTGGATCTGGAGTACCTGCTCCTCAGTTGTGGCCACTGCCCCCGTTTTAGTATCGTCTGCGAATTTGATCAGCAGACTGTTCACCCCTTCTTCATGTCGTTGATGAAAAGATTAAACAGGATCCTGGAGGACCGCGCCTGTCACTGGCCGCCATCCCGATGATTCCCCACTAATGGTTACCCTCTTTAACAAATCCTAGCAAGTGTTCTCTCTGCCGAAAGCTGGTAATTTAATGGGCCCCAGGGCTTCAGTGCTTCATAGCAGCTAACTTGTGCCACAGATTTAACTGGGCGGAAACGAGGGGGATGTGGGCACGGCCCACCGGGGAGCCTGGGGTGACACTCCCGAGCTCTGCGCTGACCCACACACGCTGCATCTTTTCTTTCGCGAAGGATCGGGTGTTGTGAGGAACCGCTGCCACCTTAATCTAGCAACAGGAGGAAGTCGAGGAGGGAACTGGGAAGTGAGAAGCCTGCTAGGGTTGTAATCTGTGCATCAAAGATGAGGAACTGACCTGAGCCTTGGCGACGATTTGGTGCCTTCCCTCCGGCTCGCCGGCAAATGCAGCCCCTCTGCTCCGGCAGCGGCAACTCGCCCCCGCTGGACACGGCGCTGCCCGGCGCACGGGGCCAGAACTGCCTTTGCCAGGTGAGGGTCTGCAGGGGTGGGAGAGCTCTCTGCTCACGAGGGCGGCTTCACGCAGGTGCCGAGGGCGGGGAGGTGCCAGCCATCGGGAACAGCTGCCTCGGCCCCGGCCGATGATGTGCACGGAAGAGCGCAGGGCAGAGGCCACCAGGGCCCGGCGTTTGCCGAGTCCTTTGAGGGAACAAGGTCTCGTTTCTCCTGCCCGGGGCACCTAACACCCCCAGAGTTTAGCACCATGTAGCAAAAAAGCAAGCAGGTGAGTCAGTCTCTTAAGGACAAAACAAATCGGGGAGGACCGTAATCATCATGCCCATCAGCCCCACACTGGTCCTTAGACAGTGCTTTTCCCGTCCCTCTCATACCCCCACCTATCTCATCCGCAGAGCTCATCTCTTAATTTGTCAGAATGAAGAGAAGCTTTGCAGGGTATCCAAATCTGGTCCAACGCCCCGTCTTCTAAACTCAAAAGCGCCTGGCACGTGGGGAGGGAAGGGTCTCGGAATGCTCTTGAGGACACACTACAATCTCACGTTGGCGGCAAAGCCCCACACGGAAAAGATGGGCCCTCAAAGCTGTCCCGTCAGGGTGGGCTTCCACATGCCGCCCAGCTGCGTCTCGCCGGGCCAGGCCAGTCTTCCTGCGCGGTGCTCCGGACGAGGTGGCTGGCAACCTCGCCCCACGGAGCACGGTGTCGATCAGCACTTGCGGCCCCCGAGCAGCTCCTCGCACGTCGCCACGGATGGCCGGCGGTGGGAAGAGGCCTCGCCCGCCACGGTGGCCACCCCTCCACTGCGAGCGGACGGGACTCTGGCGACCGCGGCACACGAGCAGGTCCCACAGCTTGCTACTTTTTGGGAAACAAGCAAACAAAAGTTCTTCAAAGAAGAAAACGGCGTGCTCTTTTCGTTTAAAGTCACCCCCGCCACTTTCCACTCTTGTACAGTAGAATTTTTCTATATATTGTTTCTGTATGTACTGTACATGTAACTTATTCTTGGATACTGCTAAGATTACATACAGATCTGCTCCTGCAGTACAATAAAACTGTTCGGAAATTATCAGTGGTTGGTCCTGCAATCGTTCTGCTCTTCCTCCACCAATTCTGTAGGCTCCTCCAGTCTACAGAATCTCAACAAAACGCACCTTATGACTGGTCAAATTCACACCAATTCACAAAAACCCTCCTGAGAGGGGAACCTGCTCGCCTCCTCTCCTCCCTCGCCTGCCTGACTTTGCTTCTGCTCTAAGTACCGAAGGGCTAAAGTCGCTTTACATTGAGAAAAGTGGGGAAGAAGAGGCAAGTCCACAGAGACACCAGAAGGAAAGGTCAGTTTTTAAAACTTTTTTTATTTTTATTTTTTTTTTAGTTTTTATTTTATATTATCTACAAAGTAAAAGTTTCATCTTAACTTAAAAGTTACACTGCTGTCTTATGACAGCAGTCCCCCCATCAAACATGATTTTATAAATAATATATCCATATCCTTTTGACAATTAGAATTTGCTTTTTTTCCAAACCTCTTTCAAGTTTAGTTAGAAGTAAAAGGGATTTCTTTTAAAGTCTTGATTTTTAATTTATTTTATTTTAGTGAGAATAGCAGCAAGAATCACTCATTACTTCCTTCTCTAGCTGATGAATTCATAACTTTGAAGGGTTGTTTTAAAAAATAAATAGCTTTTCCAGTTTTTTTCTGCAAGCGGAAAAGGGTGGCGAAAAGGGCTTTTTTGACACAACACATGGAATTATGGAATTGTCCCACAAGGGTTTCTAACATGCCTTTGTCTCAGTCCAAATTTCTCGCACTGCAAAGGTGAATTGTTAGCATTCTTATTGGATGTTATGCAATTTCTCTCTCCCTTAAAAAACCAAAATAATGACATTCTAAGATTTTTCTTTCATTTTGTCATGTTTCTGTGCTTCCGAGTTTGTGGAAGCAGAAGGAGGAAGGTATTTGGCCTAAAAAAAGAAAGAAAGAAAGAGGGATCCAGCCTCACAGTTACTCCAGTGCAGTTTTACAACTGCTGTTGATGGTGGGTTTGTACTGCAAAAAGAGTAAGAGAGAAAGAGAGAGAAAAAAGAAGAGAGACAGAGTTGAAACATGAGATAAAACACCCCAAACCTCATCAAGGACAATCTGAAAAGCTATTTGGCTACCAGCAATGTCTCACAGTTGCTTTGCTCTACACAAACACCACAAGAATGAACTCAATTCTCCTTTCCCTGCCCCAGTGCGTACTCTGGATGAACGAAAATCCCAACAGCTGCTTTTCTGAGTAACAGAGTCAGCACAACAGCTATTTCCTCCAGCAAAAGTATCGGTGGGAAGGGGCCCCCAGCCCTGGCGCTGTCCATAGGCCTGGGCCATGTTTCACAGAGAACCAGGAACGCCACCTGGGGTGTGGGGGGGGGGCAGCACCAAATGCAAGGCGGGTCCCCAGCATGGTGTTAAGAGCACGTTGCAAGACCGAGCACATCAAATACTTCTTAATACCTTGGGAGAACCGGAGATGTGGACGAGCCACAGGAACCGGGGAAGACGTGTGTTCGAGCGGCCCACCCTCCGTCGCAGCCCACCCCCATCACCAGCAGTGGCAGGATCTGCCCCGCCTGGGAAGAAACCCGCAGCCACCCCCACCCACCAGGCTCCGCCGGCATCACCCTGCCCCCTTCGGTCTCTCCCCCCCCCCCCCCACCCAGCCTCCTTGGGGCCCGTGGCCGTCACGGCGCGCACGCTCCTCTCACCTGAAGGGTGCGTCATGTAGGGGAAGTGTGCTGCTGTCGAAACTGGAATGTGCTGCAGGGCACTTTGCGCGAGGGCGGCCTGGGCCCCCCCCGGGCGGCGGCTGCGTCGCCATGAGCATCATCGGAGCGTGGGCGGTCGGGTGAGAAGGTGCCATCCCCGACTGCACGTGAGCCTGGAACGAGGAGCACGCGAGTCGCAGGGCCACCGCCGCAGGATCCCCAGCCCCGTCGTGCGACGGCCCCGCTGGTCTTGCTGTAAAGCTCCTCAGGCGCCTCTCTCTCTCGAGAAAGGCCCGAGCAGCTTGCAGCAAGCTTATGAAAACATGTGACGGCTAAAACCCGTTCCCATTAAAATGCCATAACGAAGCAACTAAAGCATTAGTACAGAACAAAAGACTCATTGCGGGCCTTCCAATGTTTGAGAGTAGTGAAGTCGGGACCTGACACCAAAAAGATGACAGTGTCGGTGCCCGGTGGGCATCACAGGGAAAGCATCCCACTTTCGGGCCAACTGACAAGGAGGCAGCTGCCTCTGGGAGCTCCTGGAGCTCAAGATCCAAGACCTGACACCATGTTTGTGTGGCTCCCCTCCCCTCCCCACCTCCCTCCGCCTTAGGACCCCCCTCCAGACTGCCAGGCAGCCACCGCTGTCCTGCACGCTGCAGAACGACAACCAGCCTAACGAGTTACAGCGCTCACAACCACAAGGCCCACGCCGGCCGCCGTGTCCCAGGCAACCGCAGCTGCTGCGCAGGGGTCGCCCCGGTGGGGACAGGCCACTCACACCGTCACAGGTGCCTGGGGCAAGAAGGCATGCGGTGCCGTTTTCCTCCAGAGGCAGCTGTGCCCCCCGGGACACCCTCCAGAGACTTTAAATTCACCTCGATCGCCAGTGGGCAAAGAGGGTCCTTCTGGGGACAGGCACACTCATCTCAGGCGTCACCAAGACCGAAGCACCGGGCAGAGCACATGGGGCGCCATGGCCCGGCCCAGTGACACCTGCTGGCTTTCCAGCTAGCGAGCTGGCCAGCTGCCTGAGAGGCTCTTTGCAGGCTGCTGCCTCCCCCGTGGTTTCCCGAGGACCTCCCGCCGCCCTGCCAGGGTGGAAACATGCCGCCTAAGCCAGGGCGGGGAGGCAGTTCAGCCGGATGAGGCCTGGTGGGAAAGCGCACACTTTGGGGCCTCGCCTGCGCCACGTGCGGCTGACCTCCTGGAGCGCAGAAAAGCCGCGCCGCCCATCCTGCTACAAGCCCAAGTCAAGGAGAAGCGGCTCCCCGCAGCCTTCCCTGCACCCCCCCGAGTCCAGAGGATGTGGTCCCGGCGCGCTCTTACCTGGGGGACGTGAGCCATGTGGGGCGGGTTGGTGTAGGCAGGCTGGACGTGGGAGGGGTGGATGGCAAAGACCGTCTGCTGTGCAGCAGGGAAGCTGCTCTGCGGAGACTGCGTGTTGGAGCCGGGGGTCATGGAGGGAGGGGTGGGCGCGAGGCCGGCGTGATAGAGGGTGGGCTGCTGGGGGGCGCTCGCCAGGTGGAGGGCCTGGGCGGCCTGGTGCTGATGAGGCTTCAGGGGGAGGGAGAGACGGACAGACAGACAGACAGAGGGTTATGGTGTGGTTTCACTGCAGGGCCTTCTCTGTGCTCGAGGGTTGCGATTTTATTCTTGAAAGATGTTTGTTAATTCATATCATGCTTTATTATGCATGTGGTTGTTATATTTTGTAACCCACCCAGAAAGCCATTTGGGCTAATGGGCTGGATAGAAATAAATGAATAAGTAGCTGGCACCCCGAGTTGCACGGGAAAATCAGGTGGCAGCAGGTGCAAAGCGGGGCCTGCTGGGGATTTGCAAGAGGCCTGCAGGGACAACCGTGTGCGGAGCAGGGCACAGCGGTGCGCTGGACTTGCAGCACACCGGGAGCCCGTGTGGGGCGGTGCTGGAGAGTGCCAGGCCGGGACCTGGGGATCCAGGCGCCAGTCCCCACTCGGCCACGGGGCTCCCTGCGTGCCTCTGGTCCGGCCACAGACTCTCAGCCCAGCCTACCTCGCAGGGTTCTTGTGAGGAGGAGGCCGAGATGGGAAGAATGATGGGAGCTGCCTTGAGCTCCTCGGAAGGCGAAACGGCAGGGTGCAACTTGAACACCCCGACACTGGCCCAGCCGCCGGCACTTTGCGCTGGGGACCCGCGGCCTCGGGCGGGTGAGGGACCCCGAGGCGGTTCCTGCCACGCCAGAGCTGCTGGCGGGCGCGTTCGGGCGCTTACCTGCACCGGGCTGGGGGCCGGGTGGCTCCCTCCGTGCTGGCTCTGCTGCTGCCCCGTGGGCGTGGCCGACGGCTGCGGGTGCGGAGGGTGCGGGTGCAGCGTGGCGCTGGGGTGGGCATACTGCTGGGCCAGAGAGCCGGTGGAGACTTGGGGGCAGCGGGGGGAGAGAAAAGAAGGCGAGAGCTGACAGCAGCACCCGGCAGGACACGCGGCTCCCTCGGCACCGGGCGACCTCGGCCGAATGGCCGCTTTCCCCACCTGCCGCCTCCCTTGCTAACATGGCTGGACGCCAGGCCTGCCTCCGCCCACTCAGCCTCGCTCTTTCCCGCTACACCAGCGAGGCCTGGAGCTGCTCTAAAAAGCGGCGTGGACGTGGCGGGAGGCAGGGGTTGCGCCGGCCACGTGGGGAAGCAACGCCCGAGCTGGAGCCCGAGCGGCCAACGACGTGCCCGGGCCGAGCCTCCCCCGACCTGGTGCCCTCCAGACGCGCTGGGCTGCACAGCTCTGTGGCCAACACGTGACGGGGGCTGCAGGCCAACCCATCCGGGGTCGCTGCTCGGGAAGGCGGCCCCGGCCCCTCCGGCAGCCGCCTGCCCTTCCTTTCCGCCCTTCCCTCTCTCCCCCGTTCTCCCGTGACCTTCCTGAAGAAGTTCGGCTCGCGGGGCAAGGAGGGGAAGAGAACCGTGCACGCCTGCTTTTGGTCCCGAGGCTGAGCGGCAACCCAGTTCACAAGGGGGATGCAGCAAGTTCGGCTTCCCGGCGAAGCACCGCATCTTGGGCGCGTCACATCCCCCCGGGACCAGAGAGGGGAGGCAGCCTGCTGGGGGCCAGGCCTGCCCGGTGGATGGCAGGTCACTGCTTTGCTAGCAGGGAGGAGGCTCCCGCACGGCTCGCCCAGCCGCCCCGCTCAGACCCTGAAAGTGCCAGGTCCAAAGCTCACCGCGGACAAGCTACGGGCACAGAGCTTTTAACTGCTGACCTGCCTGGACAGCTCCCACACCTGACGCAAAGCAGCGCAAGCCAGACTCTCCGGGGTGCTGCTGCCACTTGCGTGTTCAATGCCAGATAATTCACTTGAATGGGCTCCTTGCACAAAACCAAGGGCACCAATAAAAAGATGGCATCGTGGTGGCACTGCAGCCTCAGCCCTGAACACCCCCCTATTCCAGACCCAAAAGGGCTGAAAAGACGGGCCTGCTCCCCCGCCCCCCAGCCCTGGCTTCATGGCCCAAGCTGGGGTGGCTACTCAAGTACAATAGTTCACACGGCACTTGGTTTCTGCAAGGAACTTTTAAACCAACATGTTAGCAAGAGGAAGAAACCAACAGCAAAGAGGAGAAAGCTTTTGGAAGAGGGAGGCAGAAAGGGAAGGCAAGCTGCAGCTCGAGAGGAAAAACCGATCGTCAAGGCAGAAGAAAATTCAGAGAGAGGGAGAGGCTGGTCAAGTTAAACACCTGTCCGTACTCTGGTTGCAGGAAAGGGAAGAGCTTTTGATCAGACATGGGAGAAATGGGCTAAGGTGCAACACCATGGCGATTCGATCGTGTTACCGCCTGACGCGAAAGAGACTGTTTGAATGACAGAACGTCACGCGCTCCCAGGTGTAACACACTCAGAATCGTGCCAATGCATGGCGTGGCCCCCGCTTACCCAGGAAGGTCTGTTCAAAGGAAATGGGCTTGTTGAAGGAGTCTCAGTGCACCAAACCAAGTCGCACAGGTGCTCTCAGAGCACCCCAGGTGAGAGCAGGCTTCTGGGCAGGTTCACATGAAGCCCTTCCCAGCCCCAGCCCCAGCCCCGTGAGCACAGAGGGCTCCTGCGACAGCCTGCCGGCCGGGGGGATCCATTCAGCTGGGCTCTTCACGCTCCCTCCAGCTGCTCGGGAAGGGCCCCTCACGGAGGGTGGCGGGCTGCAGAGGCCAACACCGGATGCCGGGGGGCTCTGCGTGGGCTCTCTGCCAAGCTGGGCCCCACAGGAGTGGCCACATCGACTGCCGAGCTCAAAAGCGCCCGTCCCCAGCAGCTTCCAGTTTCTGGCCTGTGCCCTCCAGACCTCCGTTGCTCCCAGCCTCAACTCACACGAGTCTTAGGCCAGCTCCTTTCCCAAATCCCAACACAGGAACCAAGGATTCTGCAGAATTTACTGTGGACCAATAGAAAGCAGACAAAGCTTCCTTCGCAACAGAAGAGATTCTTGAGATTCTTGTTCCAAGGAAAGGAAAGAAGCAAAGACACGCACGAACGAGCATCTACACAACTGGACCTTTTGTCACCATTTCCACCAAAGCCACTAACCCGGCGTTGTCATTTCCCCTGCTTTGCCTCCTGGACTGAATCACATACTCCTCAAGCGCTTCATCCAGCATCTTTACATCTCATGCAAAATGTATTTCATTGTCAGAAAATCTTTCCCTAATTTGGAGTGGGTTTGGTGCAGACAGGCAGGGCATCTGTTCAACAAGCCTATTTCCCTGGCAATTCTTTTGAACTTGTTTATTGTACAAAATCAAAGTTAGTGCAAAAAACCCAACTCACTGGCAAAGTAGAAAGAAGGGCCTGTCTCCTTGCTGTAGGGTATTTTGGGACATGCTGAATTTGGGAAATAGAAAGGGAAGTTAGCCACATGCCACGAGATGAAAGCACCACTTCCAGTCTTCTGGAAAGGTTAACAGTCAATTATTGTTTTCATGCACAAACCAATTTGCAATTTTAGAAATCTTCAACTCAACACCTTCTTCCACTGGCCCATTAGTATTCAAATGGCCACTATTAAAGGCATTTGACATTCCATTAAATAACCACAGCAAAATAGGAAAAGTGCTCAACCAATTTGCAATGAAAATAAATACATTATTTCAGATTACAATCCCAGAAAACTGGATTTCCTCAGTACGCACAGCCCACTTTCCCAAATATTGCTCAGTATGGCATATCGACTTTGTAGCAGAGAAAGAAAACCAGATGGCCAGAGAGAGAGTCAGACCCAGAAAAATACTGATTAAAACATGAAGCAGAACCATAATCAAGCACAGGTGCATGATTTGTTCTGAAGTGTAAACTCTCACAAGTTTGTACTTTAGAACAAATGTTTCAAATCGTCACAGAAGTTCTGCAATTAATGGTTGTTGCAATTTATATTTATATAGATAATTAATTAGACTCAAATATGCTATTAAAGTATTCATTGTGGAGCAATGCAGATGCTACAAATGAAGACAGATCACTCATCACACAATTCCGGTATGTCTCTAGAGCAGTGGTGGTGAACCGATGGCAGCGTGCCACCGCGGGCACGCAGAGTCCTCTCTGCCGGCACGCGAGCCAAGTTGCCCCAGCATCGCCCAGCAGCCGAGCATCGGATAACAGCGCACACAGGGGCCATGCGCACGCTCGGAAAGGAGGAGCGGTGCCAGGCGATGACGCCACGAGCCGCGACACAGTAGCTGCGACTCGTCCGCGCTTTCGCACGGCCGGTCAGTGCGCTGCTGGCAGTGAGGTGCTTTTTCTAAACTAAAACATCCGTTTTCAGGTCTTGTTGTACTGTGGACACTTTATGATCAATAAGTGGGTCTGGGTTGCAGTTCGGGCACTCAGTCTCTAAAAGGTTCTCCAGCACTGGGTTAGGGTCAGA